TTTTTTTTTTTTTTTTTTTTTTTTTAGGTCTCTCGTGCACTTCCATGCCTTTTGATTCCACGGTTCGAACTAGTGACCTATAGATCACGCGGAGACAACTTTATCGTTACTTCATACAGGATTGAAATTAACATTATTAATTAGTTGCTTGGGAAGGAAAGAAAGATCAATAATGTCGTTAATATATTTGGAATAGTTACTCTATCTGCTTCACTTTGTCGTTTCCTTTCATATATTTATCGTCAGTATACATATAGAAACAATACAATTAATTGACCGGTTATTTTCCCCTTTTCAAATAACAGTATGAAATCAATTGTTGAAAGATACAATAAAACGAAAGACGAGCGTAACCAATTGCACAATCCAGTTTCAGAACTGAAGGTAATATTTTCATCACCCTACTACTTCTTTCTGCATGTGCTTGAACATTTCGGTATATACGTGCTAGAAATTTGCATCTTGTCATGTTTTTGAGATAGTTGGCTGACTTTATTGTTATAGTGGGAAAAAATCATTGATCATATTCGAAATTCATTCAAGAGAATTGATTTACTTGAATTAGGGCTCTCTGAGAAAAACAACACTTGAACATCTAAACTAGAATATCACCATCATATCCCTTTGACTAGTACTATATAGTCCTATTAGATCCACACAAGGAATGTGAAGAAAACCTCAATTAATTGAGAGAACGTACGACTATTAGGCAACAGTTCTAACAGAGATTTTCTTGATTTGCAAACACTAGCTACTCGGGTAATCCAAGTCCTGTACAATCAAGAGGAACGAACTATTTTTTAATGGAATTATGTCAGAGGAAGAAGCAGACATCTGAAGAATACTTTCTGCCACTGTGTGTTCAAGTACAAATCTTTGCTAGATGAACCAGTATATAAACCTAATGTAGTGAATGGTTTAGGTTATTGGATGTCAGATGAAGTGTAAATCCTGGGGGCACATGATTGGATGTCCAAATGTAATTGGAAATTAGTGAAAGATATAGGCTATTAGATATGAGCCTTTTCTTTAAAGAACAGCGAGGCGCTACCCAAGGAAATGTAATCCCCATAATTAAGTCAAATATTGAAAGATAGCTGCATTCTGAAACCCAGCACACATATAGCTAGCTGCAAAAGATCTCTTTTCATGATCAAATGTTGTTTCGCATGATTCCATAAAAAAATAGTTCGTTTGTCTTGGTCGAACAGTATGGCTGGGATGTGATGTGAGTCGTGATGCATCCCCTTGTAACATATTTTATAAGTTCATCGTCAATCTATCTTGAAAATATATACTGAAGAGAAAGAGAAGCAGAGGCATCCCGCGGTTTACTTAACCCACTATACTAATCAAGTAGTATTGAAAAAAAGAAAAGAAAAAAGAACGCAACTTAGTAGCAGCGGCGGATCTAGAGCAGTCCAATGAGTTTAACTCACCATATTACTTTCTAATCGATCCACAAGTACATATGCAAACAAAAAAGAGTTGCTTGTGTATATGTATAGATAAAACGGATCATTCAGAATTCACTGACTATAAATTCTTGAATTGCCTCTGCTTACTAGTCTGCACATCCAATGTGTGATTAACTCATTTGGTGACATCGTAATACAGACATAGTTCGAAATAAAGATCTATACAACGTCTCCAGCTCAGCAAGGTAATTGAAATTGAGACTCCTGAGAGGTAGCAGGAAAAAAAAAGTCTTCAATTTTCAAGAAGAAAACATCCTTTCTCTGTGTGGTTTCTGTAACCAGAAAGATGGAAGAGGAAAGTGTACATAATATCAGCATGTATCTTTGATTTCAGAAGCTCTTATATATATTCAAGAAAGGAATTACTAGTTTTAGAATCTAGTTGGGCAACTATTATGTGATAACTTTCTCTTCTTACCCATCGTTCAAGATATTGTGCGAATAGTCTATGAATTAAAACTTAAAATAAAGTAAAAGTAATCTACTCTGTTAAGTAGTTTCCTAGATAATCGAAGACAAAGGTTCTTGATACATTCAAAATCTGGAGGAACTGTGCGGGAAATGTGAATGAGTAAGAAGCTAGACCGACTTGCTCTTAGATAAGGGATAGTACCAGAATCTCAGATTGATTTCTAGATAATATTTGCTGTAAAAATGGGCACTGAAATTGGAAGATTGACAGAAGGATGGGAGTTGATTTCTTTGTCAATAATTTGGCTGCATAACTAGTGGGATGAAATAGACAGACTACCTGGACAGAAGTAAGAAGTTTAATGCTATGCCAATGAATTATACAAAAATCTCACAGTATGTCTAGTTAGGGTCTAATTTACACACAGTATATTAAACTGCGTTACCTATCATTTATTCTTGGTTACTACTACTTAATAAATGCGTATTATATAGACCTGCAAGTGCCTTTTAAGTGGCGAGATTATATAAATATTTTTACACGAACTTAACGTCTATACTTTTGATACTGAAACTTGTACATTCACAATCCCTGAGTATTCTTGCTAGCTTTGGCAGAAAGAGGCAGCAATGTTGCGACAACAATTACAGGAACTGCAACAAAATCATAGGTAGTGTATTACTCTTGATACTTGAGGATATATAGTAGTCTTATTCAAGCATAATGCTAATCAACTAGCAACTAATAAACCAGGCAAGTCATGGGGGAACAGCTCTATGGGTTGACTATTAAGGACCTACAACATCTGGAGAATCGACTAGAAACGAGCATAAGAGGCATCCGTATGAAAAAGGTCAGCAATCAACATGACTCGATAATATGCATCTTGGATTGCTTTGCTGGAACTGAAAAACTCACTAATGTCCTTTGATTTGTGCAGGAGCAAATATTACATGATGAGATTCAAGAGCTATCTTGGAAGGTATACAAAATAGTAGTAGCAATTTTCAAGTTTCATCACATGAAGAGATAAAAAGAATTGTTCTTCCATCAATTGCTAAAAATATTGTTAATCTGATGTCTTGACTATGTTCCTATGTTTACTAACTCACACAGGGAAGTCTAATGCATCAAGAAAATTTGGAACTCGTCCAGAAGGTAAACATCATTCAACAAGAAAATGTGGATTTATATAAAAAGGTAACTTGGCTCTTAAACATAACATGCCGCATCAAAACTTTCCCTTACTATTCTTTCTGGAAATACTTATCCACTGTTTACTCCAAACCAAACAATGTAACCATAAGATTCACACTTAGAAGTGAGAAAACAAACGCACTACTTAGCCAGAGTGAAGTGATAAAAGCGTATATGCATGATCCAAATGCTTTTATTTGCTTGGTTTTGTTGGAATCTCATATGTGAAGACCAGTTTGATATAAAGAGGACAGTGGCAAAATGGATTTGGGGATAGGGTCCAGAAACAGAAAAATGGTCCAACAATTGAAGACCCAAGCCCAAATTCTGATTGGAAACATAATAGCTGTCAAATTGGAAACAAAACATAGTTGCTCCCATCTGAAAACCATTAGGTAGTGAGCATGTTACTATATAAATATAATAAAACATAGTTGTATATAAATATTGTATAAAGTTATACATAGTACATAGCTATAATTTGTTTGTATTCAATAGACAATAGGTAGTGGACATGTTACTATACTGGTATAAATACCAAAGTTTCACACCAATGAAATACACAGAAAATTCTCCTAATTTTGATCTTTCAAAAATTCTACATGGTATCAGAGCAGTAGCTCTAAAGCATCGATCCTTTAGTTTTTTTTCTGTTCATTTTTATCTTCACTCTCCTGTCTTCAATGGGTTCTATTCCTGAAACAACTGAGGTCAGTTCAGCAAATGTCACCACTTCTGCAAATAATGGAGGTGGAATGAAGGACTCAAGTCATCCTTACTTCCTTCACCCCTCAGATTCACCCGGAATGAACTTGGTAAACACAAACTTTGATGGTAGAAGCTATGGAGGGTGGCGCAGGTCCATTCTTATTGCTCTTTCTGCCAAAAACAAGGTGGGGTTCATAGATGGAACCTGCCTTGCACCAAGCTCAGAAACACCTGACTTCAAGTTATGGAATAGGTGTAATGACATGGTCATATCTTGGTTGTTGAACTCCCTTTCCAGAGAGATTGGTGAAAGTGTCATCTATTCCAAAACAGCCAAACATCTGTGGGATGATTTGGAAGATAGATTTGGTCAATCAAATGGTGCAAAAATGTATCATTTACAGAAAGAGTTGAGTGATTTGGTTCAGGGGTCAAGCAACATAGCAGGGTATTTCACTAAGATTAAGAGGCTATGGGATGAGCTAGATACCTTGAATACACATGTCAACTGCTCATGTGAATGTAGTTGTGGAGGTAAGATGAAAATGTCCAAATCACTCCAGGATGAGAGGTTAATTAAGTTTCTCATGGGGTTGAATGACACCTATGCCTCAGTGAAGAGTAGTATCTTGATGTTGTCACCCCTTCCAACTGTGGGACATGCATATTCCCTGTTGATGCAAGATGAGAAGCAAAGGGAAGTTTATGTCAACTCTCAATTCCCTGGAGATTCTTCATCCTTCATGGCTGCAAATCAAAATCATCCAAGTCAGAAGTTTGGAAACTCTTATTTCAAGGGAAAGAAGAACAATTTGAGCTGCTCTTACTATAAAAAACCTGGGCATTCAGTGGATAAATGCTACAGGATCATTGGATTTCCAGCAGACTTCAAGTTCACAAGGTCAAAGAAGTTCCAAGCACCTGTTAAGAGCAATGCAGCATATTTTGACAGTGAAGTAGGAGAGCAGAGCATTGTTGATGGAAGCAATGGAAATCAACAACTCACACAAAGTCAAGTTTCTCAGCTAGTTCAACTTCTTCAATAGGTGAAGGGTAGTCAGACAGTGTCTTCAAGCTCAGATGTTGGTGCAAATGCTGCCAACTGTGCAGGTATATCCTTTAATGGTTCAACTTCTAAATCTTCTAATTTCAAAATCACCTTTTGGATATTGGATTCAGGAGCTTCTGAACATATGTATTCAGACCCTACAATTTTTTCCACAATCAAACCTCTTCCAAAACCTTTAATGGTAAATCTTCCTAATTCATATAGAATAAAAGTGACTCACATTGGAGATGTATCTATTCCCGGTAATCTGACTCTAAAAGATGTCTAATATGTGCCTTCTTTCAAATACAATCTACTTTCAGTTCAAAAAATTTGCAAACAATACAATTGTCTTCTAATCTTCTCCGCTACTGCATGCATGATACATGGCCTATCAATGAGGATCCCTCAGGGTCTTGGTGAAGCAAAATGGGACATCTATCTGCTAGATTCTTCAAGCCATAGGCCTAAGAAGTCATCTAACAACAATGTAGTTTCATTACCTAAAGCAAGACAATCTAGTCATGTTATTTCCCTTTCTTCAGTTTCTTTTCCTGAAAAGGTTAATTCCAATGTAAGGCTATGGCATCTTAGATTAGGCCATATGCCATTTTCTGCAATGAAAAACATTAATATGCCATCTATTTTCCCTTCTATATCCAATGTTAACTATCAATGCGATATCTGTCCTTTAGCTAGACAAACAAGAATTCCCTTTCATTCAAGCAATATCATCAGCAAACATATCTTTGAACTAATTCATATTGATACATGAGGGCCATATAGGACAACTACCTATAATGGATATAGATATTTTCTTACCATCATTGATGATTATAGTAGGGGAACTTGGACTTTTCTTTTAAGCACAAAAAGTAACGCTTTTTCAGTATTAAAAGACTTCTTGGCCATGGTAGAAAGACAATTTTCCACCAAAGTTAAAATTATCAGATCAGACAATGCACTAGAATTGGGTACAAGTTTAACAACCTCTGAATATTTAGTTTCTCGAGGGATCATACACCAAACTTCATGCACTGCTACCCCTCAACAAAATGGAGTTGTTGAGAGGAAGCATAGACACCTTTTAGAAACATCTAGGGCTCTATTGCACCAATCTAAACTTCCTATTTCATATTGGGGAGAATGCTTACTCACTGCCACTTTTTTGATCAATAGATTTCCTTCAAGAGCCATTAGGAACAAAACACCTTATGAGATTTTGTTTGGTAAAGCTCCTAATTATGATTTCCTTAGATCCTTTGGCTGTTTGTGTTATGCCTCAACTCTTTCTCATAACAGGGACAAGTTAGGAGCAAGGGCTAATGTTTGTGTGTTTATAGGGTACCTTTATGATAAGAAGGGATACAAACTGCTAGATTTTAATACTAAGAAGATCTTTGTTTCTAGAGACGTGCAATTCCATGAATCTATTTACCCATTTTCTCTACAATCAAGTTCTCTTCCTATGTTCCCTGGATTTTTTCCACTTATTGATTTGGTTGACAGTAATTCTGATGTCATCCATTGTCCTTTCAATTCCACTCATCCTATTTGTGATACTCCTAATCCAGTTCATTCTTCTACTCCCATTTCTCCTTCTAGTCCTACTTCAAACCAAAGATCAGAATCTCCAATTTATCCTACATCAGAGTTAGATCATTCACAACAAGGTACATCTCTACTAGTCTTGAGAAGATCAGAAAGACCTCATACTAGACCAACCTATTTACATGATTATGTTTGCAGTAATGTTTACTTGACTACTTTAACTGATTCATGTTTCAATCAACCTGTTAATCCTACCATTTTTTCCTTTGCTGGACTTTCCACTATCAATCAACATCTTATCAACTCTATTTCAAATATAGTTGAACCTACTAGTTTTTACCAAGCTAATATGCATCCTGGTTGGCAACAAGCAATGGACACTAAGTTTAAAGCACTAGAAGCCAACCAAACTTGGGAAATTGTGGAATTACCACATGGAAAAAAGGCTCTCCCTTGCAAGTGGGTTTATAAAGTAAAACATAATGCAGATGGAAGTGTAGAAAGGTTGAAGGCTAGGTTGGTTATTCGAGGTGACATTCAAAGAGAAGGGATTGACTTTAACGAGACATTTTCCCCAGTGGTAAAAATGACTACCATACGATGCCTTCTAGCTATTGCTATAAAGAAAGGATGGGGCATCTCACAGCTAGATGTAAACAACGCATTCTTACATGGTGAATTACATGAAGAGGTATATATGAAGTTTCCAGCAGGAAAAATTCCACCTAATCCCAACCATGTGTGTTTAATTCGCAAATCACTTTATGGTTTGAAGCAAGCCTCGCGCCAATGGTATGCCAGGCTAACAGCCGCATTAAGTTTCAAAGGGTTTCATTCATCTCTTAATGACTGCTCACTCTTTTACAAGAAATAAATAGATTCAATTTCAATTGTCGCAGTTTACGTAGATGACATACTACTTACAGGAAATAACAAGGAAGAACTTCATCAATTGAAACAATTTCTTCACCAGGAATTTCAGATCAAGGACCTAGGTGACTTACACTATATTTTGGGTCTGGAGACTCTTCGTGAGCCACAAGGTTTAATCATCAGTCAACGGAAATTCACCTTGGAAGTTCTTGAAGAATTTGATTGTAGTAGTTTGCCATCTGCCACATCTCCATTGGACCCTTCATGCAAGCTTAGTAGTGAATCTGGTGACCTTCTTTCCGATCCAACTGTCTATCGCCGACTCCTAGGCAAATTAAATTATCTCACTCACACAAGACCAGACCTTTCTTATCTGGTACAACACCTCAGTCAATTCATGTAGCAGCCCCGTGTGCCTCATTTTAATGCTGCCCTACGGGTGGTTAGATATCTCAGAACCAACCCTGGACAGGGTATTTTCATGTCCACTGATCCCTCCTTCACACTACTTGCATTTTGTGATGCAGATTGGGGATCTTATGTTGATACACGACGATCTATAAGTGGGTATTTTGTCACTCTCGGCGGATCTCCAATTTCATGGAAATCAAATAAGCAAGCTTCAGTATTGCTCTCATCCGCCGAAGCAGAGTATCGATCTATGAGGCGAGTAGTTGCTGAAGTCACTTGGCTAACTCGACTCTTGACAGATCTAGCTACACCACCTTCTCTTCCGGTTTCTATTCACTCTGATTCACAAGCTACAATTCACATCGCTCGGAACCCTGTATTCCATGAGCGAACAAAGCACGTTGAACTTGATTGCCATTTTGTGAGGCAACAATTTCTCTCTGGTTTGATTTCTCTGTCATTTGTTCCATCATCCCCTCAATTAGCCGATATCTTCACCAAACCGCTCTCCGGGCCATCCCATAATTCGATTCTTGGCAAGTTGGGCGTCGCTACACTCCCCTCCAACTTGAGGGGGGTGTTGGAATCTCATCTATGAAGACTAGTTTGATATAAAGAGGACAGTGGCAAAATGGATTTGGGGATAGGGTCCAGAAACAGAAAAATGGTCCAACAATTGAAGACCCAAACCCAAATTCTGATTGGAAACATAATAGCTGTCAAATTGGAAACAAAACATAGTTGCTCCCATCTGGAAACCATTAGGTAGTGGGCATGTTACTATATAAATATAATAAAACATAGTTGTATATAAATATTGTATAAAGTTATACATAGTACATAGCTGTAATTTGTTTGTATTCAATAGACAATAGGTAGTGGACATGTTACTATACTGGTATAAATACCAAAGTTTCACACCAATGAAATACACAGAAAATTCTCCTAATTTTGGTCTTTCAAAAAATTCTACATTAAACCAGGGGCGGCTCAAGCACATGTGTGGCCTAAAGCCAAAGTTTACTATGAGGCCTAAAATTATAAAAGATTGTTAACACTTGAACTAATGAAATCTTAAAGAAATAAAGTGAGTAATGAAATCTTGGATCAGAGAAAGAAAGTGAATAACAATATCAAAGAGAAAGACATAAAAAATGTAGGGGTTTCTGAAATATGAAAAGATTAGTTTATTTATATATCTAAAACATTGTTTTTCCTTTTATATAAAAAAATTCTACTACTAAATATATAATTTTAAATTACCTATAAACCTATTATTTCTAAAAATAAAATAAAATGGGGCCCCTCAATTTTGGGGGCCTAAGACACAAACCTTGTAATAACAGTAGAGCCGGACCTGGTTTAAACACTAGATGCGAGTAAATTTTTTCCCTATTCTTTCTGCCATTAAAAAGTAATGAGTGAAAAAGAATTTCTCAGGCTTTTGGTACAAGGGATGCAAATGAATTGAATGGAAACAGCACTACTCCATATTACTTCACAGTTAGTAGGGAAGTGCATGCCCCCATCCATCTGCAGTTAAGCCAACCTGAGCCACACAATTTTGCAAGAGTAGTATCTAACCAAAGGTAAATCTTTTTTCCTTTTATTAGCAATTGCGAATCAAACTTCAATAAACAAATTGATGTGAAACTCTAGCAGCAATAGTTGTTTCTGCTTAAAAGTTCCTCAAAAATTGTGTCTGTTTACAGATATAGGCTTTTCCGCAAAGCAAAACAAAAAACCTTACTCCAATAATATTGATCAATTATTTCCTACCCTTGGTTTCTAATTCATTATGAACACGTAAAAATATATGAGATACAGAGCATGTAGTTTCACTCGTAGCCAACAATGGATTTAACTTATATACATTGACAGTGCAAAAGAATTTTATACTGTCAATATATTTTAACTTGTTGTAGCAGATAAGATATTTTATTTTCTAGGTTATTAATCCTATTTTTTATGAACGTTGCCTGTAGTTATCTTTTAAATGGTCTGATAGCTTAAAAATTCTATCAGAAAGAACTTCCTTCAATGCCAACACCATTCCTGATAATTGGCTTATCTAAGATAAGATGGTTTTTGATATTTTACAGGTAAAAGTCAATGCCAAAAATAAAGGCAAATGACTGAAAAGATAGAACTACTCATCAGCATACACAAAAGGCCAACAAAAGTTATACTGGGGTTTCAGTGATTAAATATTGTGTTGTTGTCATGTAGTAACGAAGCGAGATCATAATTATGATGTACTATATATGTTACTCATACTAAATGGAATTATATGTAAAATCCTAGCTGCAATACATTTCGAGCATTTGATGCTTCATACTAACAGAGTACAAGTTCATCATATGGAAAAACTGTTTTTCTGAGAATGTCTTACAGAATGAAGGGAATAGTTACCTCAAACAGAAACTTGGACACAAAAACATTGAATATAAGTTAGGATTTTTTCCTTCCTATACCATATATGAAATTTTATTACCAAATATGTGCATAGTATTTAAATTACCCGCCTAGTCCACATTTTTCCTACAATTTCTATACCATTCGTTTATTAGGAATTAATAGGGCAAAATCTTCCCTTAATAACGCGCGAAAAATCAGGAAAGAATCTTGAGATTGATTGATTCTACATTAAATTCAAGTTTTGAAACGGAAAGGTAAAACCCATTAATTTGGCGTAAATCAGATCAAATCTATTCTTCCAGATATTCCTATTTAGGTGCGCTACAATTATGGAAGTAAATATTCTTCCAGATATTTTCCACCATTGATAGCCATTAAAAAGCTTGAAAGTTTTGAATTCAAATTTGGGTTTTCAAATATTATTATTTTTTTTGGATTGGGTGTTGTTGAAAATAATCGGGAATATGGTTTGGAGTTTATATCTCAATTTTGAGGGGTTTTGGTGAAGATTAGACTTGGTTTTGACTGAATTTAAGATTGAAACTCGTCGTCGACGAAGAAGAAGAAGAAGAAGAAGAAGAAGAAGAAGAAGAAGAAGAAGAAGAAGAAGACATATTGCAGAAATTGTAGATAAATTGTAGATTATTTGTATTCTGGTTGTAGATGCTTTATTTTCTGTTTTTACAAATAAAAAACGGCTAAAACTCCTACAAATCTTCTGAAAAAACGTAATTATGTCAAAAATTACAATTATGCTACAATTGGATGGGAATTGTGATATAAAAATTCAATGTATCCAGTTTGTAGATATTTTGTAGATAAATTGTAGATTATTTGTATTCTGATTGAAGATGCTTTGTTTTTTGTTTTCACAAATCAAAAACAAATAAAACTTCTACAAATCTTCTGCAAAAAACGCAATTACGTCGAAAATGCCAATTATGCTACAATCGAATGAGAATTGGGATATTAAAATTCAATGTACCCAGTTTGTAGATATTTTGTAGATAAATTGTAGATTATTTGTATTCTGATTGTAGATGCATTTTTTTCTGTTTTCACAAATCCAAAACGATTAAAACTCCTACAAAATCTTCTGCAAAAAATGCAATTATGTCGAAAATACCAATTGAGCTACAATTGAATGAGAATTGGGATATTAAAATTCAATGTACCCAGTTTGTAGATATTTTGTAGATAAATTATAGATTATTTGTATTCTGATTGTAGATGCTTTATTTTCTATTTTCACAAATCAAAAATGACTAAAACTTCTTCAAATCTTCTGCAAAAAACAGTCTACAATTTTTCTACAATTTTCTACAATTTATCTATAATTTCTGCAATATGTCTTCTTCTTCTTCTTCTTCTTCTTCTTCGTCGTCGAGTTTCAATCTGAAATTCAGCCAAAATCAAGTCTAAATCTTCACCAAAACCCCTCAAAATTGAGATATAAACTCCAAAACATATTCTCAATTACTTACAACAACACCCAATCAAAACAAATAATGATTTTTGAAAACACAAATTTGAATTCAAAGCTTCAAAACTTTTTAATGGCTGTCAATCGTGGAATTGCTGCTCTCTTGTCTCTTTGAAGGTTTGTTCTTCTTCATTGAGAAAATTTGAAGCTGAAGATAAATGTGTGTATGAACTTTGAAGATTTGACTTCAATTTTGATGAACTTTGTTGTTCTTCATTGATGAACTTCAATTGGAGTAAAATGGGGAACCAACTTTGTTGAAAGGTTTCTTCAATTTTCTGTGAATTTAGAGGGAGAATATGGTTTCAGAAGATGGAAAATGGTAAAAAGAACGTGTGTATGGGTAAAACGTAGGTGGGACTGAGGGATTAGGAGAGAGAAACGTGCAGATTCCTTTAATTAAGGAGTAAAAAATATATAATTAATTATACCCTTAATTAATTATGGTATAAAATTGATAATTTAGTATAATACGTGTAATTAAATCAAACCTTAAACATTTAGGGTACTGAGGTTTCCTATGTTGCACATGAATGTAAAAATTTCATATAAGTAACGTCTAATGTCAACATAATTTGTGACGGACAATTCATCGACGTGGATGAAACTTTGCGACGGGAAACTTTATCATAGAAATTTCAATTTTTAACGACCAAAAACTATTTTTTTTGGAAAGTAAAAATATTTCTTCATGAAAGGAAAAAAGGCCACCTAATTTCTTTTTCTTTTCCAGAAAATCTTTTCAAACCCAAAAGAGACTTGATAAGAATAGCAGGAGCCAAGAGACAACCAGTGATATTTCGACAGAGTTGTTTATAACTAATCAATATGTCACTGACACGATCATAATTACCAAAATATAAGATGCTACTTGACGCTTCATGTGGATCATGGCTGCAAAAGAAAAAATTATTACGTACTACTAGGGGGTCATGATTCGATTTGGATCGATTTTTGCCTAAAAAGAAATCAAACCAAGTCAATTTTTCAAATATTAGAACCAAATCAAACTAATTAAGTCGGTTTTTCTCGATTGAGTTTATGTCGGTTTTCCGATTTTTTCGGTTATTTATCGATTTTTTCTTAAATATAAGATATACACTACCAAACACATATTCCGGCGACCACATTTTCAATGTAACACTATCAAATCAATTGCCCTTTGAGAAATCTATTATTTACCAAAATATATTGATGATAATTGAATCAAATAGTGATGAATAATTTAAGGACTCAATTAAAAATATGTTATTTTTAACACGAAATGGATTCTTACACTTAACAAAAGAAAACTACCAATTAAACTAGAATGTAAAAGTAAAGAACTATACTAAAAGTGCAAACTATTAACATTTACCATAAATTTTTTGAAACTTTGTATAACAATATACATTTGTATAAGTGTAATAATAAATTTAGAATAACTACTCCAATAATCGGTTTGGTTCGGTTTTTTCTGATCAAAACCAAAACCAAACCAAATTTGATCGATTTTTAAAATTCAAAACCAAAACCAAACCAAACCAAAAAGTATCGATTTTTTTGCTCGATTTGATTTGATTTTCGGTTTTGTTCGATTTTTCGGGTTTTTATGAACACCCTTGCGTATTACTAATACTTTTTCCACCTGAAAAGTCTACGTGGATTGTCTTAATATTACACCAAAAAGTTTCTACGAATATTTGAAAATGGTACAACTCTTGACAGAGGTGGATTTAGAATTTTAAGTGTATAGGTTCCTAAAGAAATCTCAAGTTAATATATAATAATAATCAAAGGCGGATTCAAAATTTAAATTTTATGGGTTCAATCTTTAAAGTTCTTACCATTAAACCCATTATATTTGTAAACTTATGGGTTCATATCTACTATTTGTTGTATTTTTCGTGATTTTTATAGATAAATTTATGATATGTGCCGAAAGTACTGGGTTCGGATGAACCTGCTTACAGTAACCTGCATTCGCCCCTGATAATAACTGAATTAACGGATTGAGTTCCAAGCTAAATATTCTTATACATTTAACAGATTTTTCAATACAAATACAAGATCTAGACAAAAGATACTAGGTTCATGGGAACCCATAGTTATTGTGTTGGATCCGCCACTGGCGGATCATATGAAAACTAAGAACCCGTTTGGCTGATTTTGGCCACCCTTTTTGCAAAAAAAAAGTTGAAAATATTGTTCGTTCACGGAATATAATTTTTTGAAAAAAAAAATTAAAAAAAAATTCAAGTTCCCCAAAAAACAATTCCACTCACAAAAGTTCATCTTTTTTTATAAAAAGAAAATACTACAATTTCAACTTCCAAAAATTATTTTTCAACATAACTTCAAAAACTCTTTTTTTAAATTTCATCCCACTAGCTAAATTAGTAAGATTTACAGGAAATAAATATATCGGCTTACAGTGTGATTTGAAATTTAACATCCTAAGACTCTTTAAAATAGGTTAGAGATAGTTCTTTGACCTACCGTAATCGCCCGTGAAATTGGACAAGTTAAAGAGTTTAGCCTTTAGATTTTTTTACAACTGCACTTATTATACTTTTGAAATTATAAATTAAAAATATACTTTTTGTTTTTATAGAAATTTTCATATTTATATCTATACTTTATTCCGAAATTACTGGGTATTGATTGAACTCATTATTTACACATGCTCCATCTTCCATCAAATTTATTTGTCAATACTAAATATATTATACATATATTGACATAAACTAGGAGCACAAGTCATACACTGAACCAGTTCTTGCCTCCAGACACCAACTTCTTCAGCATCATCCGAACTCGTAAAAAAAAAAAAAAAAAAAAAGGAAGAACAAAAGGGGGGCGGGGGGCTGTTGGAGACAATTCCTGGTGCTTTGACAAAGTTGTTAAATAATCAGTATGTACTGACACTTCAGGAATCATGGTTACAAGAAGGATCTATAAGTCTATGAGAGATATCCCCCAGCACAAGCTGTTACTAATCCTGTATTTGTAAATAATGATTCTGGAAATTAGAACATTAGCATATAAACGTAAATATAAATGAAACAGTAATTAATTCGAGCCCACTGAATTCACAGTATTTCCTTAAGGAATTTAATCCCCTCCTAGTACACAAGGTTATGAATTATTTCCTTCCAGGATAAAACGAATTACACACTGGTGTAACGGTACTTTAAACCCCAGTGTTTCAGCGAACACAAAGTTCGGCAACAAATCACACTTACGGTTGCTTTGTTTGTAGTTTAAAGTAATGCACAAGAAAGGAGGAGAACTCAGAAGTCGAATGGAAATTCTGAGAGGAAGGAAATGCAATTTATAGCCAATGTTGAGCGATAACAGAAGAGGAAATCAGATTGCTCGTTGCTTTCTGTTTTCTGTCCTTTTTTTTTCTGTATGTTTCAATAATTTGCTCATCATCTATTTATAGTGCAATTCCACTTATTTAGTAGAGCACTTTTTTCATGGTGGATGTAGCATCAATCT